TAATACTCTATTTTATTTTTATTTTATAATTAATTTTTATTTGGCCCACGGACCAGCCCTATCCATATTTCTCAAGCACCACAAATTGGCAGACTTATTCAGGCTGGGCTAAAAATCCCTTTTCTCAAATGGGCTCCAAAAATCGTAGTCCAACCCTATAAAATCACGAATTAGACCAGGCCAGCCCAATGGGCCTATCCCATATTGACGGCTCTATGAATTAGATATCAAAGTGTTATATATCACCCTCGTTAAATCATAAATATCATTATTTGATGAGTAGTTAGAATATTCATGTCACTCACTAATACATTTTCTCTATTAAAAGGAGGCACGTTGGACGGTTCTTATTATGTATTTATTTATTCAATTATGTCTGCGACATATAGTTATAAACAATTAAGTTGAATTAAATTAATATTTTGGTTGAATACATTAACGATTTTTTAAACTCGAGTAAAATTTATTTAGACACTCGAATTATGACTTATTTCTATTGAGAATCTGAACACATGATTGTTACGCCCCCTAAAACTAGTTGGTGAAACTAGAGCCTTACGTGAGTTTTAGAGTTTGATGTGAGAGTTAATGTTGTAAAATGGCTTTCCGGACTTAGGGTGAGGGGTTAAACGTCAAGGTATGACTCCCCAAGGACCAACCAAGGGGTCCTTGAGGAGGACCCTAAAGTTAACCCCAAAGCTACCCCAAATCTATCCAACCTGCCAAAAAGATGTGACCTACGGATGGGATCTACTGGGCGTATGTCCATCCACACCTCGTGGGGGAGGCTCGTAGGTCAAGACCCCAGGTGAGGGCAGACCACCACCCATGACCTTCAGAACGGGGCGTAGACCCACCCACGAGGTCTTTTGCCCAGGCTCGGCCAAGGTAAGTTGGTTTTAGGTAATTCCTAGTTTAATTATTTTAATGTGGGGTTGTTTTATGTTATTTTAATAGACTTATATATGTACTTTTACATCATTAACTAACCTATTTACTTCAAAAATCCCAACATCCCCAAATCATAACCAACTTTACCCCCAAATATTTCTCTCACTAAAACCTCCATTGTAGAAGAAGAAGTTGAAGTCTAAGGTTCAAGAACTCATCTTTTATACCCAAATTCATGAGGAATCTTCATCTAAGGTATGGTATTCTTTGATTCATGGAATGCTTTCATCCATGAAGTTCTCAAACTTCCAATTTCAAAGTAGAAAAATCTCCAAAACCTAGGGTTTTCACTCCAAGTCATGGATAATTTCTAAAAACGTTTTCAATGGTTTAATTGCTTTATATTATGATCAAATTGATGAATTGCTACTGTGTTAAGATGAATTCTTCAAGGATCCATGAATTTCCTAATTTTCCTAAAGTGGAACTTAAAGTGTGAGTGTTATTATATGTTCATACAATTGAATGGATAATGGTTGTTTATGGTGTAATTACATTAATTTAGTATGATTATACATGTATTCTTGATTAACATAAAGTTTTAGGGTGAAATTGATATAGTTTGGTTTATGCCATGGAGGAGGCAATTGAGAGCTTAGATATGACCTTCTAAGATTGATGAACTACTTTATGAATTACTTGAGATTAGAGGAACTAAAGATGAATTACTTAAAAGTAAAGCTTGTAAACATGAATTGACTAGATTAGGGCTTATATGATGGATCATGGTTTAATGATATTGAGATTTAGTTTTGTATGATGTTATATGACTATAATTGGTTAAGAATGAAGCATGTGGTTGGATTATCTTGAGAATTAGGTATATATGATGATCATGCAAGGTATTGCTTGAGAGTAAGGCTTGTAGTATGAAGATGACTTCTAGGGCTTTAATGGTAAAAGCTAATATAAATGAGCTAATGATGCTAAGGCTTTAAGTGGGAATCTATTGTGTGTGTTGGATTGAATGTGATTTTATTGTGGAAGAACTCCACCAACATGACCTATATTATGAGTGTTTGAGATCATGCATTTTATGACTTGATTACTTGAACTATGATTATATCCGTGTCTAAGTTAATGAATGCTAGATGTGTTGATTGAATATGGTCTTTGGTACTTAAAGGGGGAAATATATGATATTATACATGCTTATGAGAGTATGTTCATGATTTAAGACCATGTTTTGAGATAATTGAATATGGTCTTTGGTCCTTAAAGGGGGAAATATATGATATTATACATGCTTATGAGAGTGGGTTCATGATTTAAGACCATCTTTTGAGAAAGTAATTAAAGTGATCATGACTTTGAAGTAATTGAGGTGTTGTTGAAAGTCTATTCTCACTCACACACACTTAAACATGATTATTCCATGATTATGAAGATATTATTGTGTTGATTGAAAGTTCATTCGCATAAACACATAATGAATAGTTTCACATAATTAAGATTTTAGGTTAAAAGTTCATTCTCACCTAATGAATCTATGAGCTCTCTTCATGTATTGTGTTGGATGGAGGGTAAGATACTCCTTCATGCGTGTAAATTCAATTCAAGATTAAACATGTAATCGTGGTAATCAATGCTTAGCACCGAGTGGATATTGAATATGAGATACAAGCTATCCCGTTAAGAAAGGCCGGGTTTCTAAAGTTAATCTCATGAGATGGAAGCTCCCCCGTTAAATAAGGTTGAGTTTCTAGTAGCAATCTCATTATCCCATAACTACATGACCCCATAGGTTATTTAGCCATTGGATTCATTTCTAAGCTAATACATTTTAGTTCTACCTTAGGCACGTAGGACACCTCTTTTCGGTGTGGGGAATGACATTACCTTAGGCAAGTAGGACACCTCTTTTCGGTGTGTGGCATGATACCGGATTCCATACAAGCTCACATGCTCTACGTCGGTTAAGGCTAATTTCCACAAGGTCAAGTCTAGGATATACTATGGCTATTCAAGAGGTACTACTTAGTGTGGGTGGAGGTATGGGACTTCATCCATGCATTGCACAAGTTGGCTTTGAGAGTGGTTATGGTAGATTCCTCTTTCTTAAGATGACTCATGTAAATGAATGTGCTTGTGCCTAAATGGTAATTTCATTTTATGTAAAGGCTACTTATAATGCTGTATGTTAACTTGGATTGTTTCTATGAGTTGCTTTCCTAGTCATGACTTATTAAATGTGCATGTTTCCTTGTCTATAAGAAATAGGCTAAAGATGGGATCCAAGAATGGTAAACATGACTATGGTGGCCTAAAAGGGATACTTAGTATGAGTGGTAGAATAGGATGACATTAATGCATTGCACAAGTAAAACTTAGGGTTACCTAAGAGATGGTTCTATTATGTTATAATGAATTATTTGATGAATATGCTTGTGACTTGTGTTTTACACTAAAAGTGCATAATGATGCTCAACTTAGTAAATGCATGGTTTTCAACCAAAATGTCCCTTTTTGCATGTTTTAAAGGATTTTATGCATGACTATCATATTTAGTACATCTTTGTGCTAACCCATATTTCTTCTACATTTTTCACAAAGTGAAGGGTTTGGAGACTTGAGTTCTATTCTTGGGAGATAGGTTTCTAAGGAGCAAGGAGTTGAAGATTTGGTGAGTCCTCATATCTTCGAGGACAAACCCACTATTTCCTTTATGTCTTTTATTTTATGTTTAGAGCTTTTGTATGGGCTGCTTCCCGAAGCTGTAGTCTTAATGGTTATAGATAGTTTGAGACAAAGTGTCGACTCCCGCTTGTTTTTATAAAAAGACTTCGATTGTAAAAGAAAAAAATTTAAATTCCGCACCAGTTTCCTATGTTCTTATGTTATGATATGCTAAGAGGCTTGTATGAGGATCTTCGGAGTTTTGTATGTCGTGTTACGTCTAGGGGGTACTCCTGGGTCGTAACAATGATACAATATTTTTATTTGACACTAATTATGTGTTAGCCCCAGTAAAATATTAAATCACATGCATTTTTTAATTGATATTGATATTTATAGTTAATTCAAATATATTTTATATGATTAACTAATTTTACGTAATAGGCGTTTCTAAATTTTTTTAGTTGAAAGTGCTTAATCGAAACACTTAAACATGTCATGTTAGATGCTTAATTAAATCACAGCATTATTTGAATGTTAAAATAAAATCTATTAGCAAGTCTAAGGTGTACTGATGTATTCAGTAAGATATAATACCACAAATTAAATTAATAGATTTTGGTTACGACCATACTAGTGTTTGTGAAATGAAATACAATGATAGTTTGTATTTATAAATCACTGTATTATATTACAAAAATAGTACATAATATTATTCAATAGTCCTGAAAACACTATATAATACATATATAATAGTCCAGCAACAAAAAAACATGAGAGTATTTTTGGTCATGTAGTTCCACCAAATTAAATTAATACTCTTGCACTTCTACTTGTTTGTGTAAATTTACAAAGTGAGCCTGAGAGTCCCCAAACACTTTAGTAGAGCTTCAAACGAGGTAACTAATCCCTCATGAAGTGGTCAAAGAAACTTTCGAAACCCCGGATGTAGATATGAATCATCGCATTCAACATCTCTCGTTAGAATTTCTGGACTTTTACTTATTTGTGTATATTTGAAAATGAACCTAAGAGTTCAGCCAAACACTTCAATAGGACATCAAAAAATGAAGTAATTAATCCTCACAAAGTGGTTAATTAAGGAAACTCTCGGGATAACCTTGATAGATTTAGAGACATACAAAACCTTGATATATAGATGTAGACATGAATCATTGCATTCATCATTTCCCATACTTTTCAGCTCGTACTCTTGCATTTCTACTTGTTTGTGTAAATTTCAAAGTGAACCTGGGAGTTCCCTCAAACACTTAAGTAGGGCATTAAAAATGAAGTAATAAAGCCTTTATGAAGTGGTCAAGAAAAGTCTTGGGAATACCTTGATAGATGTAGACATGAATCATTCAATTCACCATTTTCAGCTTGTACTATTGCACTTATACTTATTTGTGTAATTTTCAAAGTAAACTTGGGAGTTCCCCCAAACACTTCAGCAAGACATCAAAAAAGAAGATATCAACCCCTCATGATGAAGTGGTCAAGGGAACTCTTGGGATCACCTTGATAGATGTAGCAATATGAATCATTACATTTATATTTCCTGCTAGTTCTCTTGCGCTTTTATTTGTTTGTGTAAACTTCAAAAGGAACTTGGGAGTTCGTAAACACTTCAGCAGGACATTCAAAATGAAGTAATTAAGTCCTCATGAAGTGGTTAAGGGAACTCTTGAGAACACCTTGATCGATATAGCATGATTCATTGCAATGATCATTTCCCGCTAGTACCCTTGCATTTTAATGTTAGTATAAACTTCAAAGTGAGCCTGAGATTACCCCAAACACTTCAGCAAGACATCAAAAAAGAAGATATCAACCCCTCATGATGAAGTGGTCAAGGGAAATCTCAGTTACACCTTGATAGATGTAGCAATATGAATCATTACATTTATATTTCCTGCTAGTTCTCTTGCGCTTTTATTTGTTTGTGTAAACTTCAAAAGGAACTTGGGAGTTCGTAAACACTTCAGCAGGACATCAAAAATGAAGTAACTAATCCCTTCTCATGAAGTAGTCAAGGGAACTCTCACCTTGATGGATATAGACACGAATCATTTCATTAATCATTTCCCACTTGTACTTCTACTTGTTTGTGGAAATTTCAAAGTGATCCCAGGAGTTTCCCCAAACACTTTAGCAGGACTTCAGAAATGAAGTAATTAAGCCCTCATGAAGTGTTCAAGGGAACTCTCGGGAACATCTTGATAGATGTAGCCATGAATTGTAGCATTCATTATCTACCTCTAGTACTCATGCACTTTTACTTGTTTGTGTAAACTTCAAAATGAACCCGGGAGTTCCCCCAAACACTTCAGCAAGGAATCAAAAACAAAGATATTAATCCCTTATGAAGTGGTCAAGGGAACTCTCGAGAACACCTTGATAGTTATAGAAATGAATCATTGCATTTATTATCTCCCATTAGTACTCTACCACTTCTTATTTGTTTGTATAAATTTCAAAGTGAACCCGGGAGTTCCCCCAAACACTTCAACAGGGCATCAAACAACGTAGTAATTAAACCCTCATGAAGTGGTCAAGGAAACTCTTGTGAACACCTTAATAGACTTGAGAACCATTTTTCTCTATCTCCAAGACTCCAACTAGTATTCTTGCACTTCCATTGGCTTGTTTAATCTTGTTATAACATACACTCCTATTTATATTGTGTTGGTAAGCAAATTCCATGCAAGATATGAAAGTGGGGTTTGAACTTGGATATGTGGTGACATTTTGTTGAATGTGGCTACAAATTTGGGTAATATTAAAGTTTGAGAATATCAGAAAAAAAGTAATTCCTTTTCCAGACCTTTTTCCTTTGTATGTTGCATAATTCTCATACCTAAAGTTTCATGTACAAATTAAATCTTGCATCTATTTACTGGAAATAATGGATTCACTGGCTAATTCTTATTATTAATTAATTAATATAATTTTTTATGCATGTCAAATTTCTTTTAAATACAACGAGATATTTAAATACTTTGACTCTTGTGTAAAGGAAGGGGTATATATTTATAAAGTTATTCTAGATCTTGTCCAATTTGCTTTATGATTGATAATATAGAAAGATATCAACAAATAATACAACGTTGAGTCAATCTTATTTGTGCATGGAAGGTTTTCCTTTTATTTTGGCATAATTTTTTTCGTTCACTTGGATAACAATATAGACCAGGTTCAATATTATATCCTCAAGAAGTATATTCTAATCCTTTATGTACCAAGGAATATTTCTTTTCCAGAGTTCAAAAAGGCAGCAATGCAACAACAACATATCCCACGTAATTCTACAAAATGTTGTTTGAATTAAGAGGGTAGCTAGAATGTATCCAAACATTATTAATATGGTTATTTCTGATAGACCCTCATACCAAGAAAAAACAGATCAAATTAATAATGAGAAAAGAAAAATTGAAATTACATTAAAGAGGAATTTGCATGTGAGCTATAAAGGTTATTTAACATATTACGGGAGCAAGAAGAGGTTATGAGTTCTAGTCTTACCGTCATTTATTATTTTCAAAAAACAAACTTTTATATGTTTGCCCGGCCAAGAAAGGGATATGGATACTCATATTGGGGAACATGTTGGGAATATAAAATAAATAGTTAATGTATACTTATTTTTAGACGTGAGCGTAGAAGTTCGATATGAATACAGTTGAACTCAATTATTTTTTAAAACAATGTATTTTTAGAAACAAGTTCATTAAATGTTCTTACATATTTATTAAATCACCAAAGATGTATATACATTTTCGTGAGATTTGATAGACTAACTTTGATTCGAACTTTAAAAAATGTATCAAACAAAGTTATTAAGTAAATGCATCAAATGCATGTATATATATTGAATCTGGCTAAAAAAAAAAGGGTGATATTAAAGTTTGAGAATAATATAAAGGGAATAATCTAGCTAAAAACATTTTCATTTTTCAACTAATTATTTCCAGATAAATGTTCATAGATATTACTAAAGATTTATAAGTTTTATACAAACTAATCCTATGTGTCAAGATAATTAAGCATAATATCTAAACTAAAGAAGGAAAGCTTGAGAAGAATGTTTTTGTTTATTTACGTGGCAAATTATTAACAAATAAAAAACTTTTGGAGGCTTAAGATTGTGCTATTTACCTCCTCATAATTTCATGAATTACAACGGACTCTCTTATTTATTTTCATAATAATTTATTTTCCTATGTGGATGATGTTAATGCACTCGATTAGTCCTTCGGGATGGCTCAATTGGTTTGGAAGGTAGCCATTTACATGAATGACTCGATTAGGACTTGCCTAGTGTATTTTACATCAGTGACATATGCTGTATTGCTTCTGAATTACCACATATCTGAAGTTGAAAATGATACTCGACTATATGAGCACCTTTTAGGAAATAAAAGAGAAAAGAACACAAACATACTTGTACTCTTGACTCAATTATTTTAGTTGATTCTATAATTCTAATAAACTATAGCCTACAGACAAACATCCTACTCAATTAGTACAGAGGAATATGAAACCTGGGCTGAGGGAGTTGAGACACCAAACAAAAAATTATACTATTTCAACTCAATAATTTATTTGTATCTTTAATTTGTCATGTGCAAACCTAGGCTAAAAATCACTTATCTTCAAATCCCTAAGGTATACAATGTTAGTAATAATAATTAGCAGTATTTTCTGAATTTCAAAAATTACAGATTAACAAAAGTCACTTTTCCAGAAGTGCTATAATCTAAGAGCTTAAAGCTTTGGGGCACCAATTCTACAATTTACTAAGCATTAATGCTATATAATAATGTGAGAATGATGAGGTCGAATGATTGATTTATAACTGATGAACTGATATTTTATTCACTTGAAGAAGTTATAGATCCTTAATACTACAATTTATGGTGAAGCGCTATAAATTTCATGAATATTTGTATGGTTTAGGTCCCTTGATTTTGTGACATTGTTATCAGTTAATTTTTTTGTTTTTAACTTTGCCATCTTAATCAACTTTAGATCCTTAATACTACAATTTATGGTGAGTTTCGTGTGAGTTATAATATATTAGGAAATCAATTCTCTCATCACATGTGTTCTATTCCCCCTCTTCTAATTCTCAATAATATTTATAAGAATTTAATGTGAAATAGAGACTCACATTTATTCCTTACTTCAATCCTGGTATGCCTGATATTGTGTTACTTTTATAAGAACTGTGAGAATGAAAAAGGTGTGTCATCTAAGTGATATTTTTTCTTACGAGCCTCATATTACGGTTTGCTAATATTGTCAACACTTGTAAATTTGTAGATTATTCAATTTGAATGGAAAGTATTATTGTAATCTTATTTTATAGTATAACAAAGAAGTATCTTGTGTCATATGAAGTTTCCCTGGTTGGCTGTGGATGAGAGACTTGATTTTGTTATGATCGTGAATAATTTTCTCCGTATGAGCTATCTTTTGAAATTAAGTTAAGTTAAAAGTTTATTTTTCTTATCAAGTAATGTTTGCTATGTGTTGTCTCAATATTTCTATCATTTTGCCTGTTTAAATTTATGAAATTTCATTTATTCTATATTTACCAAGTGTAAGAATAAATGATACGCTAATACAAGGATTGAACACGCGACCTAGTTGCGATTTCCCAGACAAAAGCCAATTGAACTATGCAGAGATTTGAATAAGGTGTGTCACATTAATAATATATATCGTTATCTCTGTTTTTTCCCTTTTTACTCTATACATATTTAGTAAAATTTCCCTAGGAAGCAATGTCACGTGACACCTCATGAGCCTTGCTAAATCCGCCCCTAGTTTACATCACATATGTGATTTGCAAGCTATTACACACTGAAGTTTCAAAAAATATATATTTAAAGATGCACTCGATTAGTTGTATTGTATGACATTTAATTATTTTGGATACATTCATGAGTACTATTACATATAGTGTTTTCAAAAGATGATTTTGTGAGCCTAAAAAAAGGAGTTTCCACTTTATCTCCTTTCAGTTTTTTTGAAATAAACACAGGAGGAACTTTCATGCACAAAAAAGAGTTATCCTGAGTCATTTTAGCAGCAAGGGTTCTAACTGTTGGGTATTAATTACCCTAAGTTTCTTATCATAAATAGGTTTTCCTTTTAGGAAAAAGTTTTTTAATATTTGGCTAATCATTTTCTTGTAAGGAAAAGGTTTAGGACTCCATAAATATAGGTTTGTTCCTTCTAACTTAATCAACATTTATAATGTAGTCTTAGAGGCTTTTGAGAATTTTTGGTTTGGGGGAGAATTTGTGGGACACAAGAAATATGTTATTACTTGTGTGAACCTCCCATGTATTCCGAGAGAATTGGTTGAGGTTATTTCTCTCTATATTTTGTACTCTCATATTTATATAGTGGATTGTCCATCTCCTTTGTGGATGTAGGGCGATTGACCGAAACACTTTAAATCGTTGTGTCTTTTGGTATATAATTTCTCGTTTGTCTTCTTCTTCTTTTTTTGCTGATTTTTTGAATTTCTTTTATTGTGCAATTTTTTCTTCCAATGAGTATACAATGTAGCTCAAAATGGATAATTATACAGCTAAAATAAAGTTCTAGGTAATTAAAGAACAAAAATTAACGTCCAATCTTCATGACTTTAATTGTATGGAAATACTAGTGCTTCAACCATTGTGTTCATCAACTCCAGCTAGATCTTGCACTTCTTGTTTGTGTAATTTTCAAAGTGGACTCGGGAGTTCCCCAAACACTTTAGCAAGGCTTCTAACAACAAAGTAAGTCTGTATGAAGCGGTCAAGGGAACTCTAGGAAATACCTTGATAGATATATACAGGAAGCCTATTGTGCTCATCCTCTCTAGCTAGTACTCTTGCATTTCTACTTGTTTATGTAATTTTCAAAGTGAACTCGGGAGTTCCCCCAAACACTTCAGTAGGGCTTCAAACAACGAAGTAAGCCCTCATGAAGTGGTCAAGGGAACTTTAGGGAACACCTTGATAGATTTATACGTAAAATATTGTGTTCATTTTCCACAACCAGTACTCTCACACTTATATTTGTTTGTGTAAAATTTCAAAGTGAGCCCAGGAGTTCCCCCAAACACTTCAGCAGGGCATCAAACAACAAGTAAGCCCTAATGAAGCGGTCAAGGGAACTCTAGGGAACACCTTGATAGACTTGAAAACCATTTTTGTTAATCATGCACCTATCTAGTAGTACTCTAGCTTGCATTCCTACTTGTTTGTTTAGTTTGTCACAACATATATACATTCCTATTTATAACATTGTTTTTATAAGAAAATTCCATCCCAAATGTGAAGTGAGGTTTGAACTAGGATATGGGGTGACACTATATTGAATGTGGCTACAAATATGGGTAATATTAAAGTTTGAGAATATATGAAAAGGCAATTCCTTCTCCAGATCCTTGTCTCTTTACATATCATATTGTACCTTTTCCTTCTTCTTTTTTTCATGTCTTAAAGTTTGGGTGCATGATGGCTTCCCTTGCTAATTCTTATACCAAAGTTTTAACTTATGATATTTAAAATTCATATAATTTACTAGCTTTTAATTTGTATAGTACTACATCTGGTCCTTATATCTTCTACTTTTTATGATTAATTCTTTTCTTTAATTCGACTATTATTATACGATTTTTCAGATTTTTTTTAAATATGTTAAATTTTTTTAAAATACATTTAAAAACCCATATGCAAATTCACATCACAATATTTAAATACTTTGACTCTTGTGCTCCGGGCAGGGCCGGCTCTTGCCTATATAATTTTAGGCATTGGCCTTAGGCCCCCAATTTTTGGGGGCCTCAAATTTTTATAAATAAAA